TCATGGTTCCCAGTTTAATTCTCCAGCAGCGTTGGAAGCTACCACTTCTCCCGCTGAGTCTCCTTTTGTACCAGCTGATGTTGGTGTCTGGATAGCCTACCCCACCGGTTATCGAGTTCATGCCTGTGTTGGGCTCCCGGGGACCTAAGGAAGAAGACGGCCGTGTGCGCTCCTCCGTGTGTTCACCCCACGGCTAACGCTGCAGGAGAGCGGGGAGGCCATCAGTGTGTTTTGGTTCTTTGTGTTTGCTACCAGTCCAAGGATTTTGTTGTTGTTGTTTCCGTTTTTCTAAAACCCTTTAAAACACATCTGAAGGAGGAGCTTTTCTTCCTTGAGGGAGTTGAGAGGGTGCTGTTAGAGGCCTGGAGGGGCAGGAATAGACAGTCTGTGGGTGCCGGCCCAGAAGGTGGCGAGAAGAGGAGATAAAGTAAAGGTGACATTGTTGAGCACAGTGCTGTGTGTCAGGCGCTGTAGTTGTACCCATTAAGTCAGAATCTCTTGGGAAAGTTGTCCGAGAAAGAAACAAAAAACAAACAGAACAACAAAAAGGTCCCCGTGGGATTCTGACAGGCGTATCCCGGGTAAAACTCACGGAGAAATGCCACCCCGTTAACATCACACGGGAGCTCTTGCTGGTCACAAAAGCTGGTGTCTGGAGAAGGAAACGGACGCGCTGTGGGTATCCAAGATGCTGCCTGTCCGGTGGGTGCCGGGGGCTGTCTCTGGGGGGTGGTGGACAGCCGGTTGCAGGTGAGGGGCAGTGGCGCGTGGCCATCTCCCCTGGGCGGGTCTGAGGCTAGCGTGAGTGGTGGCCGACGGGTCCGTGTGGGGAGGAGGCCTCAGCTCAGGGATCAGAGTGTGCTGAGGAGGCCGTGTGACGGGCGGGCAGGCCAGGTGTTGGGCACTAGTTGTGTGACCTTGGCGATTAACGAGCTCTTTAAGCCTCAGCTTTCTCAACTGGAAAATAGGTTGATGAGCATCCAGCTCCTAAGGTTGTGCTGAAGGTTAGATGCGATTGTACCGGTGAAAGTCTGACACACATTTAAGGGCTCAGATAACGCAATTTCTCTTCTCTTGCCCACCCTCCTTCTTCTGCTAAAAAGGTTATTTCAAGTAGCTCTCTGGCTGTTTTCCTGCACCACTGTGAACTCAGTGAAAACCAGCTGCAGTCTCCTCCTTTCCCTTCTTCCCCTTTCCTAATGCTCATGGCGAGGGGGACCCGGCTCTGAGGCTGGGTTCCCAGCCAGGGACCGCAGGACTGGGCTGCTCACTTTTTGGTTCCAGCATTTTCCTCTCCCAGGAAGGGCACTGGTCCAGAGGCTTGCAGCCTACTCTCACTGCAGTTTACAGGACGCCTTGCTGCACATGTTTGCTTTTCCCTGGCTGCCCGGGTCTCACTGAGAGTGTGCAGCTGGCTTTTCTTCCTGGGTGGGATTGAGTGATGATAAAGCAGCCAGTTGTCGGGCGCAGTTGCTAGTCAGGACTCGTGGTTTCAAGTGACAGGAACCCAGCTTAAACGAGCTCAAGCAAAAATGGGATACCTTGGACGGGTCTAGGGGAGGCTCAAAGATTCATAGGAGGTGCTCCAGAATCCAGCCCCAGGAAGAGAACAGGTGACCTCCAGCATCCCCAGACCAGCATTCTTGTTCAGTGGTCCATGCCTGCAGGCAGCTCCCAGCTGACCCCACACAGCCCTCCAGCCATCCCAAGAGGATGGCCTTCCTCAGGTTTTTCAGATTGGAACTTGGCCCAGCTTGGAGCACGTGCACACCCTTCATATCCAAGAATGTGGGCAAGGATGAATAATACTCTGATTAACCTATCTTGAGTCCCATGCCCACCTTTTTGGCTGGAGAGTGGGAGATGGGGTGGAATCTGTTATCAGAACAAAGGGAGAAGGATGCTAGTAATATTAATAATTAAGAATAATACTAACTCACTTTTATTGAGTGCTTACCTTGTGCCAGACATTATTCTAAGGTCTTCACCTCCACAACTCATTTAGTCTTCACAATCAATCCCTTTTTAGGTACTAGGAAGCTAAGGCACAGAGAGGTCAGGCAATTTGCCCAAGGTCACACAGCTAGCCAATGGGAGAGCTGCGATTGAACCCAAGCAGAGGACTCCAGATGTGCTGGAGTCTGGACCATGACCTCTGATGCAGACAACAACAGCAGATGTCATCTCAAGCACTTCCTCTGACTACACACTGGGCTGCGTCCTTTATAGCATCATCTCATTTCATCTTCAGGCAGCCCTGCGCAGTAGGCACTAACATTATTCCTGTTTTTAGATAAGAAACAGAGGCTCACAGGGATTATATGACTATCCCAGGGCCACTTGGCTAGTTTAAAGTGACAGAGCTGGGGTAGGAATCCAGGTTTGGCTGATTCCAGAGCCTGACCTCGAGACCACTCCACTGGGTAGCCTTCACATTTAGACACCTCTCTTGCTCTATCGGATGCCCCCCCACCATGTTTGGGATGAAGAGCAGACCTGGGTCAGCATCTAAGCCTTCATCCTCTGTCCGGGGGGCTGGAGTATGGAGACCTCTGCTGGACCACACACTGCTGAGGGACCAGCTTTGTGGTTCTGAGCTGGTCTTGGTGTGTCTTACACTAACTCACACCAAAGGGTCTTGAGCAAGCCTTCAGTGCATCTGAGCTCTGGATTTCTTCATTCCCCCATTCAACAAATATTGGTGGAGTGCCTTGTGGTGCCAGGCCCTGTTCCAAGTGCTTGGGGTCTCTCAGTGAAGACCCTGACTCCATGGGGTTAGGCTTGGAGAAGAGCAGAGAGGAAGGTCCCTTGAGTTCCTCTCACGTCCCTTGGGATCCATGGGGCCACTCAAGCTCACAGGAAACCTTTCCTGCATCACCTGAGTCAGGCCCACTGGGTCCTGGAGACCTCATGCTTCCTTGCTTGGTCCTGGGGTGATGGCCAGTCCCAGAGGAGACATTGTTTCTGTTCTGATTGATTACAAAGGGAAACATTGTGTCAGGAGCGAGCATGGGCGTGGACTCAGGCCAGCTCCCCCCGTGAGTGCAGTCTGTTGTGGTCGGCGCTGATTGAGTCTCCAGTGAGGCGCTTGGCTGTGCCGTGCCTCAGTTTCACCCTCTGTGACTTGATTGTACTGCCTCACAGCGTTGCTGGGAAGGTCTGAGATAGCACATGCTAACCACCCATCGTGGTGCCTGCCCACGGTTAATCCCTCTCCCTCCTTTTAACAACTGACTAGCTTTGCAGGTGTCTCTAAAAGTCAGGGCCCATGGAGGTGGCAGCTAGAAGGGGTCCTTGGTGAGGAAGTCACCAATTAGGTCAAGCTCCTCATTTTACAGGGAAACTGAGGCCCCTTGAGGTGGGGGGTGCTGGGCCCTAGGACTTTCTGGCTTAGTGGAGTTACGGGGAACTCAAAGCGTGTTTGGCTGTTGGCCAGACAGAGGGTACGGTTTGGTCCTTGGAGTGGCTGGATCACAATGCGCCCAGGCCTGTGTGGGAATCTGATCCAAGCAGAACCTCTGAGAGCCCCCTGTTTCCCTGTTCTTGGTCTCAGCAATATGCTGGGATGGGAAGGGGCTTCTGTTCCTGAGATCTAGGAGCACAGGGAGGCCCCTGGTTCTCAACCTGGTTAGACCAACAGTGGAATTCTGCACCAAGATGTCCAGTTCTTCCACCTGGTATACCCAGAAGCCTCCCTTGAGAAGCAGAAGGCAGATAAGTGGAGGCCTCCAGCCTCTCTGACTTCACCTCGAGGCAGCAGCACAGAGCCCATAGCTCAGGCTGATAGAATGTGGCCGAGGCAGGCCAGCCTGTTTGTCAGCTGCCATGGGCCAGAGAGGTGTGGCTTGATAATGATGATGATGGTGGGGATGATTGCAGCTTCTGCCCAGGTGGCTGCCCTTGGAGCTTGCCACGCCACTTTCAGGGTGTGCGGGCCCATCACAGGACAGCTGTCACCTCAGAGTGGTAGGAAAGACCACGAGTGCTGGGTCAGCCAGGCCTGGGCTTGAATCCAGCTCTGCCACGGGGCCTTGGCAAATGCTTTCTGCTCTCCAAGCCTCTGTTCCTGTCTGTGAGAAGCCACTGAGACAAAGTGTGTCTCGTCCTTAACGTGGCTCGTTCCATGCATGGCCCGTACTCAGGAAATAGTAGCTTATCTCCCGTTAATAGTCTGAGAATTCTGAACAGAGTCCCAACTCCCGGGCTTTAAGCGCAGGTCTTTGTACAAGAGGGAATGTGTGTGTGTTTATGTGGGCAGTTGAGCTGAGCAAAGGTGCGTACATCCATGCCGTGTGGGTATTGCCTCTTGTAGATCTCAAATTTCACGTCTGTGTTTGTTTTGTCCTCTTGAGGCCTCCTCTTAGAAATTTGGAATTGTGAAACAAGTCCTTAGAAATGTTTTGTAACTCTGGGCTCCATTTTCCAAACAGGTGTAGAGGCATTTTCTGTAGAAGCAGTAGGATATAACCAAATCATTTGAGTGGTCACTGGAAGCCAAAATAATAATTTGTTTAGGAAATTCAGCCATGATCAGATGGTCTACTTTTGTAGCTTCCTAGTTTATTTAGCGTTTTGGACCTTTCCAGCTTGGGAAATATGACAAATTTCACATTGGTGACTTATTATCAAGTTTTACACCAGCTTGCTTTACTCAAGCTTTAGAAATTCTGGCATTTTCTATTTTTACTAAAGCAGCTAGTGAAGCGTTCTTTTCCAGATCCATCTTAACTTTCTCTGCAGGCCTTTGTGTAGAGGTGTGATAAGCTCTTAGTGTCCCAGACAGTGGCAGACAATAGGATTTGTTTCACCCTTTCACTATTCCTTTCTTCACATGCAAAACTGGCAGCATGGAGAGAAATTCTTCGTCCATTTCCTCTTGTTGGGTAAAATGCTACTATGGGGCAAAGTGCACCAGCATGTGGGTCTCTTGGGGAGAAGATAGGAGGCTGTATTGTGAGATAATGTAACTGACATTCACTGTTGGGCTCTTGTTTTTAAAGGAACATGGCCACCTGTGCATGGCTCGTCCTGGGAGGAGATGACATTAGTCACTATGATGCCTGAGAATCAAGTGAGTAAGTCACAGCGGTGGATCTCCTTTATGGCACTGAGTCGCTCTTGGGGGGCTGGCCTCAAGCGTTGGAAAGTGTAAGGGCGCATACACTCTTTCTTCAAGCCCCAGGGAATGTGACCCCATTTGAAGAAACAATGGCTGGGGAAAGCCCTCTGTCTTTGCCTACAACTTCCAAGGTTGCACAGCCTTCCCGTGATGTCAGAGGCGCGAGGCAGGGAGGGACTGAGACTGGGATTTGCCGGGGACGTGAAAGGCCTGTGTAACTCGGTGGTCTTTGGGTGGGTGGAATCTCTGCCTGCTCTTCCCCTGAGTAAGACCAGCAGCTCAGCTGTCCTGCCTCCAGTCAGGCCCCTCCAGTCAGACCTCAGCCTCACTCTCCAGCCTCATTTTCCGCCTCTCCTCTCTGCGCTGGCTCCAGTCCCACAGCCCCTGGAACAGATCTCCACTTCCGGGATGCGCTATGCCCTCTGAGAAGCTTCCCTCACTTCCCCAGGCAGAGGCCGTGCCTCTCCTTCTCTGCACTCCCACAGGGCTTTGTTCAGACCTCAGACACATCATCGCCTGAGTTAATGTTCGTTCACTTGTCCGTCTCACCCACCAGCTGTGGGAGCTTGAGGGCAAGGACCTGTCCTTCAACCCTTCTGTGTGAGCCATCCTGGAGGGACAGAACCGGCACGTGGCAGGGGGTCCCCAGCTGTTGGATGACTCAAGGAATTCAAACTTCGAGGCTTCTTCAGGGCTTTGTAGCTCACGAAGCTCCCTTACGGTGTCTCGTGGGAGCCTCGCTCCCTGGGAGGGTAGTCATATCATCCTCACTTACTTATAGACATGGAGACCGAAGTCTGAGCCATCAGCTAACACACCCTGGGCTGTAGCTAATAGGGACCAGGATGAACGTCTCCTGTGGCCAGGCTAGTCTGGTTTCTGTAATACCAAATTTTATAATTAGAGAGAACCCGAGAGATTATTTAGTGCAAACCCCTCACTACCATGTAGGGAAACTGAGGCCTGGCCTGAAGATACTTTCTCAAGGTTACATAACTAAGGGGTGCCACATGGAGAACTGGATCACAGGCCCGGGACTTCCAGTCTAGTATTCTTCCTCCTCCTCCGTCCTCCTCTGCCTCCCTTCTGTATACAGCAATCAGGGAACGTTTTGGGACCATCATTCTGCATTTACAGGAGGATGAAGAACTTACAGAATGCCTGAGTTAGAGGGAACATAGAGATTGAATAAAACTGACCCTGCCTCCAGGAGCTTCCCTGGAGATGTGACATGGGGGAGGGCCTGGGAGAGGGGGAGGGGGAGGGGAGAGAGTATCAGAGTCCAACCCAAGGCTGGAGCAGAGTGGAGGCCCCAGCGGAGGGGCAGCAAGCAGGCATGTCTGGGCATTTAGAGGCTGGCCTAGTGGGCACCGAGGATCCACGGCGGGTGAGGAGTCCATGTTGAGATCCTGAACAGCAGGATGAGAAGCGGTTGACTGGACCACGGGGAAAGCTGCTCCAGTAGTTAAGATTCTTAGAATCTGGGCAAAGAGGTCCTGATTAGCCAGTCTGCTGTGTCCTGAGAATCCCTCCCCTTTCCTGGAGAAACACGGAATGTAGAGTGTGTCCACAGAGGAGGGTTGGGCAATGGACAGTGAGTTTCATCATTGTCTGAAACGTTTGTGGAGAGGGAAGTGTGTGCATGTCTGGCTGGCACATTCCTATTGTGCTCAAATGAATTTTTGTTTTGTTTCTGATAGACCACACTTCTAGTAGGTCGTTTCCCCCCTCAATCTTAGGGCTGTCCTGGGTCTTTCATTCAGTCCAGGCTGGATACAGGGCCAGGTAGGTGCTGGCTACTCTTGTCATTTTTACTCCGCCCCTTCTTGCAACTTCCCCGGCGTACAGAACGGGAGACTGGGACTGACTGCAGGCTCCATCTCCACTGGCAGGTTGAAGCATACACTTTGCCCAAATTACAGAGAATGCGGTATTTGCCAAATAGGTATCTTGGATTCTTTTCCAAAATGTGACCAGGTTGTAAACTTCTCTAGGGCAGGGAAAGCATGAGTATTATATCATTATTGTTTACACCTTAGGTTGACATTGCACTTTACATTTTATGAAGATCATTTCATCTTCGTAATAAGGCAGGTGGATTTACTCCCATTTTACAGATGAGAAATTAGACTTAGACAGGCTGTAACCTGCCTAGGGTAGTGTAGCTGCCTAAGGGCTGAGCTGGGACACAGCCCAGGCCTCCTGTTTATAAATTCCATGATCTTTCTAGTCTACTAAGCTCTGACCATATGTAAATCCCTGGAGGGCTGGGACATAAGAGGAGCTCAATAAATATTTGTTGAGTGAGTGAACTTTGGCTATTTTTTTCCCCTTTTTGCGGGGTGGGGGGCATTCTTAACCATAAATAGATCCTCTTCAGCAGCAAAGGAAACACTACGCTGTGAAGTATTTGAATTTCTTGCTACGATAACGAACTGTGAGTTCTCTTCTCGCCCAGCCTCACCTCCAGGAACTGGGTCATGCACACTGAATAATTAATTCCTTGAATCTTTTACTCAGAGCTTCCTCCTCCTGATGCTGAGGCGATCTGTTCAACACTGATCTTTGAAAGGTCTCTGGCAGAGGCAGATCCTGTCGTTTGTTGTCATAAACCTTCAGATGACACACATAATCACCCACGATGGATACTCCTGGCCTCATCAGGTCAGACTTCCAGCAGGTTAATTCCATCTCCTTCTGCCGCTCTTCCCCTAGATCCCTCTAGACCAAGGAAGAGGGATCCTTGTGGGTTATCTTAGATATTTAGGGTTCTGTAGGGAAAGGAAGGTCCACTTCTCCCTTCTCACTGACCTCTGAACTCCCCAAGATTTTGTGGCGAGGGATGGAGAGAGAACAAACAGACCATGTCACGTTGGGAAGGAGTGTATGGGGTGCTGGAGGCAGTTATCAAAATATCTGCTGGGTCTGCTCTTTCCCTAAGTGACACTTGGGTCATGTTTCTTAGAGCCTGCAGGGGATCCAGCTGGCGTCATTAGAGCAACCTCAGCAGATCATGAGGTCAACAGAGTAGAGTAGAAAAAAGAGAAGTGTGAGACCAAAAACCCACAGTTCTGGTGTTGGTTGCTCACAGCTTAGCTGCACGGCCTTGGGCCAGTCACAGAACTTCACCTGCCCACCAAAGATTTCTTATTAAGGAAATAAGGGAGGTATAGAGGGTTGGGTGGCACCTTAAAGGAGCCTCTGAGACTTTTGTGGTTCTCAGTGCCCACACTGTCTGTCCTCATGGTTGGTACCATCTTCTCCTCCAGGTTGCCTCCTCCTCACATGGCTGGAGCTTGCTTCTGTAGGCACTTGTCTTGTGGCCTTTGTATCTTTGCCACCTCTCCCCTGCCCCACCCTGAGATATGCCAATGTGCAGATAAGAACTGCCTGTTGCTGCCCTGGTCTCCTGCCAAGCAGCACGAGGAAAAGTCTAACGTTTGAGAGTGTTGGGGACCTAGGGGGTGTAGGTTGGTACAGGAGGAGAGTGGGAGAAATCCTGGAGTGGCAAGAAGCCAACACAGATGATTAGGGGTTGTTGGGATATCCGAGCTCTTTATGCCCCAAGGTACCTGGACTCTGTTGGACTCTGTTTGACCAGAGGGTACTAGATGTGTTCTTAAGAATATGACCCCAAGTTTGTCCTCTTCTTCCCTGGCCAGGCCCTGTGGTCAGGGATGACCAGACACTCTGGAGCAATAAAACATTGGTAGAAGTCTGCTCAGTGGGAGCTAAGAGATGCCTCAGACAGATAACTAACACAGAAAGGGGGAGGGTTGAGGAAGGTGGATCTGTCTCTAGGATTTATGGTCTTAGAGTGTGAAAGCTGGAAAGAACTTACAGATTGTCTAATCCAATCCTCCTGTTTTATGGGCAAAGAAACTGAGGCCCAGAGACATGACTTAACGAGACCCATAGAGCAAGCTAGTGGTAGGACTGAAATGGAAGCCAGGTCTCCTGATTCCAACCTTGGGAATCATACACATCAGATGAAGTGGCTGTTTCCCCACCGCCATGTTGCATCTCACTTGGGTTCCGCCACCACCCTTTCCACTCCTCTCTGACACTGAGCTTGATTGTTGAAGGTATTAGCAGGCCCCACTGCTCCCTCCTCATTGTTTGTGGAGGCCTAATAAAACTTGGGTGCAACATCGTGGAGAGGTTAAGGCTTCTTCTCATGTGCGGGCTGTTTGACTTGTACTTAGTGACTTACTGTTGAGTCAGCGTTATTCCGTTTTATGGTATGTCTTGGGGTGAAAGATTAATTCAAGACAGGAAATGAAGGATACGATGGCCTAGCCTCAGCAGTAGTGGCCTCTTGTGGGTTTGTCATTCAGATAAAAATCACCTTTGTTGCTAAGCAGGCCTGGTTCTGAGACTCTCAAACCGAGGGCATGGATTGAGTACAGTCTGTACTGTCCCTTGCTCTGAGAGAGGGCGCTTCGGGTTAGAGGCCGGCCGCTCCATCACTATGTTGATGGCACGTGAACCAGAACAGAAGCCATTCACTTCTTCCTGTAGGACTTCATTTGGCTCAGCACTTTCTACTGAGCTCAAGGAAATGTGTCTTGAGCTCTGTCCGTGGGCAGGCACTGGGTTTACATATTTCACCTGTTTGTCCCTCACAGCAGCCCTCGGAGAGGTGGGCATTGCTATTTGTCATACTGAGAAGAAAACTGAGGCAGATATGGGGTAAATAACTTTCCCATGTCCCACAAGGGCCACGGCTCAGACACAGGGTGTGACCCCAAAGCCTTTATTGTTTCACATTTCACAAGGCCTCTTTTTGCACAGAGAAGGGAGGAGGGGACTAAGTGGGCCGGGCATTGATTGGGGCATCAAGCATTTATGATGGGACTTCTGAGTGCCAGGCCCTGGGCTTGGTTGTGGGGATGCAATGGTAAGACCCAGTCCCTTTATTCCCAGGAGCTCGTGGCCTGGCCTGGTGGCAG